GGATGATTCCTCCTCCCTGCTCCTCCTCTGAGAGGAGAGTGCCTCCCTTGTTCTGGCGGAGGTAGACTGTCTTCCCATCGGCCAGCTGCACCCTGACCCGGCGAGCCGTTGATGCCTCCTCCCTGGAACGGGGAGCCCGGTAGGCATGTGAAGCGCCGCTATCCAATAGCGCCATTCCGTGGCTTTCATTCAGGCCCTGCGACCTCAGTAGCAGCTCCAAGTCCATCACTGCATCATCCGTCTTCGCCTGCATCGGTGCCAAGCGCTTGATCTTAGCCAGGAACTGCTCTGCCAGCTCTCTGATTTCACCCGCATTCTGAGCCTGCTGCGCATCCGCGAAGAGGATGGTTGAGGCCGCCGATGAAGGTTCGCTGGAAGAGGTGGTAGTACCTGTGGTAAGCGGATGCTCCAATGTGGACGCTGCAGAGGTCGAGGCGGTGTTCATGGTAGCCGTAGAGGGTTCAGGGTTGTTCATCACGTTCGCCTGGGCCACAGTGGGTGTAGTCGGTTCCCCTTGCGACCTCTTCTCAGTGGATCCCTTAGGGCCACCCTTCCCCTTGGTAGCGGAGCCGGACTTTGTAGGGCAGTCGGCCTGTCGATGGGTCGTCGCCCCACATGTCCAGCAGCGTGCCTTCTTCTCCTCCTTGGTCGCAAACACATGGCCGTACTTGCAAGCAGATCCCCTTCTGCAACCGTCCGGTGTCAACCAAAACTTGCAAGGCTGCTTCTGCCCTTGTCCTTTCCCAGAAGGCGAAGTCGAGGAAGACGCCGGAGATCCAGGATCCACATTGGCACCCTTGAGCTTGGCTTGGGAGTCCTTGGAGTTGATAGGGATCACTTGCTGGAGCTCCGCAACCACATGGTCTGCAAACGTCATCACAGCACTCAAGGTTGGCTGGTATGGGAGTCGGAGCTCCTGCTTGGCCATGTTCAGCTTGAAGGCCACGTCCTTGTTGTTCTCAGTGATGTGTCTCGTAGCTCCCTCCAAAGCAACCAACAACACGGAGCCATCGGGCAGGGAAACTCCCATCTCGGAAGCACGGCCCACATGCTTCTTCCATCGCCTCAGGGCGGAAATCATGTCGACCACATTGGTCTGGGGCTGGATGTACTCGAGCTGTTTGATCAGGCTCGCCCTCTCGCTCGCGCCCCCTGGAGAAAACGTTGTATAGAGCTTGAAGAGGCAGTCCTTGACGCGGTTGATCCTCAGCATTGTGATCTCGGCCTTGATAGTCGACGTCATCGAAGCCAGGAGAAGCGCCATCACCCGCTTCTCAAGCCGAGACCACTTTTCTCCGTCCACGTCTGGATCTTCACCCACTTGGACCGTCAACCTCTTCAAGGGTGTTTCCGCCTGGAACTTGTGGTAGGCTGTCATGGCTAGCTCGAGATTGGCCGCCCACCACACCGCTGCCTTGTCCGTGATTGAGCCGATGAGCTGGCCCACCTCGTACACCCACTCCAGGAACGCCACCGCACTGTTGTCCTGGTAGGGCTCGGGCAGCTTCGGTAAATCCAAGGAACCCTTCAGCAACTCTGGGTCATGCCCTTCCTTCTTCAAGTGCAGTTGCTGTAGCTGTTGGATCCCCTGGGCCAAAAGGTCCATCGGCGCCACGGAACTTCGCTCATCACTCCTGCCACCACGACTGCCTCCTGGGCCCTCGCTGGGCACTCCACCAAGCTTTCCTGCGACATTCTCGTAGCCGCCACCTGATGTTCGTGCCGCCGCTGGACTCGGAGACCTCGCCGTAGTCGCCTCAGTCCTCGTTCCACTTCCTGGATCACCTCCCCGTCCCCGAATTGGAACAGGTAGTCCAGGAGGAGCCCGTAGGTCACGGCCTGCATACACTCCTTCAGCTCGAAGATCCCCTCGCCCAGCCGACTGGTCTCCTGCCGCTCGAGCTGGCTCTACCCCCACACTTGTAGAGGCGCTCGCTCTTCCACCTGCGGTAGGTCCTTGGTCCGCTCCGGCTCTCTCCGAACCCGCTTCGATCATCGCCATCAGCAGTTGCTTCAGTTCCGCATTCTCTGCCTGAAGCTCATTCATCTTCCCGTCCCGACCTTGAAGTGCAACTTGGACCGCCTTCTTGACTTCTTCCTGAACCACCTCCGGCTGCAGGGACCCATTCGAAGATTGGTCTCCCGCACGTTCAGGCTGTGTAAAGGTCGTGGTCCTCGGCTGCAATTCAGACATGCGCGGGTGCTCGGGATTGTTGAAGGAAGGTGTTGCCAACGACCAGGTAGGAGACTGGGAATACCAGGAGGTAGGTGAGGCAGAAGGAAGGGGTTTCATACGTCCAAAGACAGGTTCCAAGCCTCTCTGAACCATACCCTTGATCTTCGTAAACCACAACATCTGGTCCCCCGTGCGCTCCGTCACTTCGCTGGCCTCAACCCTGGTCGTGGTCTCCAGGATCTCCGCATCATCCTCGGCGATCAACCTGGAGGCTCGGGAATGCAAAGCAGTCACCAAAGCATGACGCTGTTCCGCCAGTTGTGCATGGGCTCGTTGCTGCAGGAAGTCCTGTCGAACATCTTCGCTTCCATGCATCGGCACACTGGGCTCACGAACATCTGCAGCTACAGGCAAGGTTGTAGTAGAGGTCGTCGGCTGATCTGCCTGGGGCTGCTGCTGCGTTACAGGCTGCTGCGATGGTGCTGCTGCTGGTTGGTTGGGTGGTGTTCCGATGCTGTAGTGCTGAGGGCTGGGCTGTCGTTGCTGACCTGGCCTGCTCAAACCCAAAGCCTCTCCCTGAAACCTTCGTCCGTTCGCGCCAGATCCGGTTTCCGAGTTCGCGCCCGTTCCGGTGTTCAGCTGCGATCCGCCACCCGTGGTTGTCGCTGCATCCATCCCCACTGCTCTCCTGGCAGCAGTTCCAGCATTCAGCTCGGCCACAGGCCGCGTAGACGATGAAGGCTCATCTGCACCAACCACCTCTTCATTTCGCGAGCCCGTCGTACCAGGTCTGCCTTCCGGATGATGTGGTAACTGGCTACCTTCAAAGTGGCCACCAGTCGCCACACCATTCAACAGGACCTGGCCTTCGGCCATAGCTCGATTCATCGCCGCTCCACCATCCAGTGTCACAGGGCGGGCTCCACCCGCATCCATTCCACCGTAGGTTCGCACAGCTTGTGCCAGGAGGCCTTGCCCTGCACCACTTTGCGTGGATTGGGCGCTCATAACCTGTGGAGCTTCGTGTTCCGGGGGCTGAGAATACATGCAGTAAACTCGTAGTCTTGATAGAGTGGAACAGAGCTCAGGCGACCATGGCAGCGAATTGTCTTTCTGTTTTCGCACAAATCGACCTGTCAAAGCTTGGTACTTCAAACCTGCTATACAAGCTGAGCTAAAAGTGCTCCAGTTCGGCTCTACTGGTCAACTCATCAGTTGTACATCGTATGAGGACATGTAGAGTTAACTCAAGTTCTCTCGCAAACTTGGGCACCTCAGTGCCTGCCGCAACGAAGGTTGCATGCATGGATGGACGCAAACTCATTTCATCAGTTTGCTATTGCCTTCCGGCTCGAATGCTGTCCTTAGACGTCATGCTGCTAAGGCATGCATGACTTGGCAAGTTTAGTGTGGAAGGCCGTAGTGATGGCCGTGTTTGCGCCTCTGGACGGTTGCGGAGACCAGGCTCGCAGTTGGCTTCTCGGGTATCTCCCGTCCCACACACAGCACATACGACTTACGAGGCCTGTTTCCGGGCTTGCGTCGGAACTCGACTTTGGAGAGGTATCGATTTTGAGCTTTGGCGCCTGCAGACCGCAGAATCGAAGGGGTTCCGAAAAGCTAGCGATTCAGGATTCTGGAGACGGTGAGCCCGCAGTTGCAATTCTCGTGTGCGAAGTGGCGTGCCCAATTTCCCGTGCGCACTGGGTTGTCATTCCCCGCCCGCAGTGGCAGCAGCTTGCAGGTCGCACTACTAGTACAGCAAGTGCTGCAGCGCATTTATCCGCATGCGAACCCTTCGGAGGGAATCGGAGCATGGAGTGGCTCGGAATTCAGAATCGGCTCGCTGTTTCCAGAATCGTGAATTGCAAGCTTTTCGGGACCCCTCCGATTATGCGGTCTGCAGGCGTCAGGTTCAAAATCGGCAAGTGTCCAAAGCACGGAATTCTGTCTCAAGCTCGGAAACAAGCCTCGCAAGTGCTTTGTGTGTGGGACGGAGATACCTTCCCTAGAGAGAGCCAGTCTGAAAAGGCAGCGGTTGTACAATGACATGCAAGCCGGCCTTAGGCAACACAGTCGACACAAAAACCGAGCAGCATTTGGCGCAAGCTGAGTGCCACGGTGCTCGTCGGATTCGGTAGCAGCTAACGCACTTCCGTCTATGGCTTCCCACGCGAAGAGCTCTGAGGGTGCAAGATGTGTCTGCTGCTTGAACGGCTGCAGCTTGCCCATAAATCATACATCAGCTTAGGTTTCGTACGGCGAGCTTCACGGTTCGGAGGCTTGGTGTGCAGTCGCGTTCTGGGAAAGGGGGACATGCCGTGACAATGAGCGAGAGTCTCGTCACAGGTCGCAGCGTTGTGGCTGACTGATTAGAGTTCACTTCAGCATGGGTAGGTCGTTCAGCAAGGCGTCGCTGCTTTCAACAGATTTGAACGATGGTTCCTTTCAACCGCAATGACCAATAGCGTGTATTGCCTTCAAAGATAGCATGCGAGGCTGCGGCTTCAAAAGGCTGCGTCATGCCGGGCGACTGCCCATTTGCATATCTGATTAGGTTTGAACAGATGCCTGCTGCTTGCAGCAAAGGGCATGTCTCAACATCATGTGACTTTGTGGAGAAGGGATCCTAAAAGAGGCAGAACAACAGTTTTTCGCGTGCTTGCCGCCTAGAGAGACATGCTGTAGGACCAGCACCTTGTTATTGTGCCCCGAAGCGCAAGCACGGCCAAAGTTTGCGGCTCAAGTGCCATTTAAACGCGAAGGTAGTTAAGAGATCTTGGCCTTGCTTCCTAGGTTTTGTCATTTTTGTCTTCCAGCCATCATGCAGCTCCGCCTGCTCCATTTGCTTGGAGCATTGACTTGGAGCATTGGCCAGGCTTCTCTGGACACTTGTGTTGAGGAGGATCAGCCTGCGCTGCTGCAGTTCATGAAGACGAGGGCCGGAGATTGCACCAACCAACCATGGGACTGCAATGATGGAGGATTCAGCGCTGAGGCTGCTTTGCAGGTGATCAGCGAGAGGCCAGACAACCGTTGTAAAGGTAGCGAAATCTCGCTGTTGAACATTACGAATGGAGCCTACACGCCGGTTTGCAGATTCAACACTACTTGTTTCAATTCGTGTGGCATCGGAAAGGACAACTTCATTTACTGCCGAATTGACGATGCTCCAACGAACTCGCTTGTCCGCATCACATGCCCAGTGAGCTCGAGCGGTCCTACTACGGGGAGTTTCTGCTGGTTAGGGGAGGTGCCTCTCTCCAGAGCAGGTGGCTTCAATCCTCGGACGATTGGCGGTGTTGATCGGTTCTACTGGATCACCATCGGCGGCAGCATTGACGTGCAATTCTATGAGAATGCCTCTGCAGGCAGCAACATTGGCGTTGCTGGCTTGCCGGGATGGAGTACAGCCACGTTGGCACAACTCAACAACAACATTGGTATCGGCAGTGGCATCAACATCGCTGCCCAAGAGAGCCGCCTTTCGCCAGCTGGCGACTTGGCGATTCGGGAGATCCAGAACTTTCCGGGCAACAACGATCTGGATTGGGTCGTTTCCTGTACCGAGGACCGAGTCTTACTTCAAAGCGTTGAAGGGACCACGAGCCGCTTCTACGACCTGCAGATGGTGCTGCCGGTGGGTGCGGCATACGGCTTGCCAAGTGGCAGCGCTGGAGCTATGTGGGACTTTAAAGGGCGCATCTATTGTGCATACAACAATGGCGATGGCGTGTTCGAAATCCTTTTGGACCAGGTTAGCACCACCCAAGTTCCAGTGGTGCTGGCCTCTCCTGCAGAGAGCATTCCAATAACCGCGCAGAATGATGGTATGAACTGTTTCGAGGAAGAAACACCTTTTCCGACGACCACGAGCACCACAACAACCACAACACCTGCTCCTCCAGAACCGTGCGAGAACGTGCTGTACTGTCCACTAGACGGCACTGGTCCACGAAACGGTCTGACGATGACCACCGGCCCAGAAATCGATCGCCTTAACGACAACCGGTACAGTTTCAAGAGGATTTGCCAGATGGCCGCTGGCTCGCCGAATCTGGATTCTTGTGGCATCAACGACGTGGACGGCATGATCTACTGCGTGGCTGGGTCCGGCAGCAATCAGCAACTCGTGCGTGTGACCTGCGGGAGCGAGCGCGCTACCAACTTGGTTTCTGCGGGGGATTTGCGCCATTTTGTTGTGCAAGTGCCAAGTTAGTTTGAACTTCTCTACCTTCGGTTTCGATTGCAAAGCGCAGCACAGCCCGCAGGTTTGCTATCTGGGCGAAGTCCCGGCAGTCAACGTCAACGGTGCCAGCTTCGCTCCGGGCACGGGCACGTTCGTCGCACGGAACAACAGCAGCTGGGCTTGAATTTATAATTGAGCCTTGAACAGATTCAACTTGCTGGTATTGTCATTGTCATGCATACATTCGGGGATGACTACTGAAGCTTTTTTCTCTACAACATGCTGGTCTTATGAAGTAAGACCGGTGTGTATTCCAAATGTGACCTCAAAAGTACAGGTGACATCTTCACCTTTGAAAATGTTGCCAGCCTCAGCGGGTCGACGTTGCCGGTGACGGCTCCCGTCACACAGACTAGCACGTTCACGATGGATGTCGAGAGCGAATCGGATCTCATTGTGCAGGAAGCCAATGTTGACGGCAGCGGAAATAAGCCCTGGATCTTCTCTTGTTATGGACGCAAGGTCTTTGCAAGACCGCTCGATGGTTCCGGCATCCAAACAACTCTAACCATAACTGGCTTGGCGTCGATTGTCGACGCCAATGAGCAAGCCAGGTCCATGTGGGGCTACAGCGACGGGAGCGTCTACTGCGCCTACCTACTAGACAACAACCCTTATGAACGGATCGTCATCCAGGTCCTTCTGGACACCGTGAACATTACTGCGGGCACGGTCGAGTTTTTTGAGGCGGCCCCAGCACAGGGATTTGCATTGAGTCGTGTAAACAATGCGGAGGATGGTCTGAACTGCCTCAACACAGCAAGTCCCTTTCCAGGATCGGGCGGCACCACCACAACGACCACCATCCCCCCGTGCGAAGCAGCTGCATTCAACTGCTCACAGTATCCAGGCCCTCTGCAGGTGATCAACGACGATAGTTCAGCGAGTTGTGTATCAAGGCTTCAATATCTAAACTCCTCAGGACTGTACACGCCAATCTGCAGTTCCCAACCAGGAGAATGCCAGCAGGGGTGTTCCTACAATCCGAAGGATGGGAAGATCTATTGTCAGAGCGTCCGCTCATTCCGAAACTTGGGGCGGTACTTCACCCGCATCGACTGCGATGGAACCACGGGGGTCATGAAGGTTTGCTACGTGGACTTGTTTCGGAATGATGTCAGAACAGCAAGCTTTGTGGAGGAACCTTTCACAAACTTTCCCAACTATGTGCACTCTTCCACCCCACTTCGCAATCTTCAAGCGGATGTCACCACCCTTGGTGCCTTTGAGGATCCTCCGTTCGAGGGCGTTTGGTCTGGGATGGCAAGCGAGCAAATTTCTAGTGCAAGCTTCAACTCCCGCAGCATGGCGATTAGCAGGTTTGATATCGGTGATGGCAATGGGGTCCAGACTTGGGCAATTGGCTGCAATGATGGGCAGGTTGTCGTCCAAGGCGTTTCAAACGACACGGACAACTTCTTGGAAAACGTTCGCTATACGTTGACCATCGAGGAGCCGGTGCCGACAGGGGGAGCAGCGAAAACAGCATGGACCTTTGAGAACAAGGTGTATTGTGCCTACGACAATGCCGTCTACTTTCTGTTCACGCAGTTCATAACCCTCAACACCGTGACCAACACAGGCACGATTATTTTGGGCGAGGTGAGCAATGCCGCCACAGTGAACAACAATGACGACAATGGAGGACTCCAATGCGATACGCCGGACCCGTTCCCAGATGTGACCACATCGACTAGCACGACAACTACGCTTGGCCCACTGACTGCCTGCTCCACGCAGGCCTGGAACTGCAGCAACAGCAGCAATTTTTCGACTCTTGCCTTGCAAGTGATCAACGAGCGGGAAGATGGTCTTTGTGTGCAGGGAACCCTTCAGGCGTTGGACGTCGAGACCGGTACCTACACGCTGATTTGCACCTTCCCAGATGGCGAGTGCTTCAACGGCTGTGGGGTCAGCCCCTTGGACGACCAGATCTATTGCTTCACGGAAGAGCGGGATCAGGACCTCGCCTACCTCACGCGACTGTCGTGCCCAACCACTGATATCGGTTGCGGGCCTGTAGTTTCAGTGTGGCTGGTGATGTTCACTAAGGTTTTGCTTTGCTTGAGTGCTGCAACAGACATTATCTGTTGGCTTGTGTTCCGTCTTCCGAGGCACTGGATCGGCGGGTGACGTTTGCTACATTGGCCTCCAGCGGGCATCCGTGTCTGCAAATTTCGACCGTAGCGGACAGTTCGTGTTCATCGCAGATGCTGGAGGACGATGGGGCACCGCTAACCCCCAACAAGGGGAACCCTTGTCAGACTTTCGGTAGCCCCCACGTGAGCACTAGCCTGTAGTGGCAACAAGCCTTGCTAAGCCGTGCGAGGCCTTTTCGTGCAACAAGATTTGGAGACACTTCCGGCATATGACCGCCGGCCGCTACCAGAGGATAATGTGACTTTCGACTATCGTCCGAATGCTACACAGGTGAATGCCAATCAGCCGAACCAAATCGATGGATTTGACCTCACGGTCCGAGCGATTGATCTTGGAAATGCGACAGGGGTGCAGAATTTTACAATCTCTTGCAACGAGAACTACGTCTCGTTCCAATCCTTGACGAACGAGTCGGCATTCTACAAGCTGACGATGACAAACATCAACCCCCAGGGGATTTCAGGCGCTCAGTGGGAGTTCGATGGGCGTGTGTTCTGTTCTTACAATGATGAGGGCATTGTGTACGAGATCCTGTTAAACACGGCCGACCTCCAGGCCAACACAATCGCCAGCGGCATTCAGAATCCCTCACAGGTTGTCCAATCCAACGACGGCCTCAATTGTCTGACGGCCCAGGCTCCCTTCATAGATCGTACTACAAGCACCACGGTTACAACAACGACCTCGGTAGAGGCTACAACGACCTCAGCTGTGGCAACGACGACCTCGGCAGCGGCATCGACCACCTCGTCGAAGAAGCCGTACTACCGGCGCTTCCGCCGCTTCCACCGCTTCCACCGCTTCCGCCGCATCCGAAGGCGCCGCCGCAACAGGCGCTACTCGTACAAGTACAATGCGTCCGAGCAGAAAGGCGACGAGGAGTGAGGTGCTGCGAAGCATCAGGGCATGGCAGCTGTAGCTTTATGCCATTTTAGGCTTTAGGCCTTTCGAGTGCAGAAGTGTTCGTGGGCGAAAGGGCTTGCGAGCCTTATATCGCCCCTCTCGTCGCCCGAAATTCTTCAAGCTTCAAATCCACTTCATGAGCTGATGCTTTCACTACCGCATGGGGGCAGCAGCGGCGGGGGGGGTGTTCAGCGCGACGAGTTTGGTGCATTCTCGATCATTTTGGTGCAGCTCTCTCGAAAGTGGGAAGCTGCTGATGTTCGTGGAGTATCCGGGAGTGGACGAAGGTGCCACTCACGGTCCATTTGATCGCTTCCCCTATTCATTGACAAGCCTCCCCCCCAAAATACCTGCACCGTTTCGACAATCGGCATTTTGACAGAGCTTGTCTCACATTGGGGTAGGGATCCCGGTTTAGATGGGGCAGATCCCTCCTGGTTCGGATGGCGCAGATCCCCGCCCTTGAACTTAGCATTGCTGCGTTAAAGTCATCATTGTCATGCAGTTGTTCGGTGGAGTCGATGAGTGAGGGAAGCGAGAAATACATTGAGACGTCGAAGTTTATCTCCCGAACAGACACAGATCATCAGTGCACCAGGCTGTATACAAGCAATTCGCAGATTCGTCTGCGGGCCAGAAGCGTTTGCATGGACGAGGTAAAAGTTGACCCAGGTCATTATCTAGAACTGTGGAAAACTGACAAGCGACTTGTCTCGTCAGGGTTCGTCACCAGCCAGCACAGGCCCGATGTTAGATGCTGGAAGCACGCTTTCAGCAACAGTCAGCAGCCGTCGATCAGACAAAATGTATCGGACAAGGTCCAGAGCGCTCGTCCTCATGATGTTGGAAGTTTCACTCCCGGGACATGGTACTCATAGCGACCGTTTGCTATTGCCTTCCGGCTCGAATGCTGTCCTCAGACGTCATGCTGCTAAGGCATGCATGACTTGGCAAGTTTAGTGTGGAAGGCCGTAGTGATGGCCGTGTTTGCGCCTCTGGACGGTTGCGGAGACCAGGCTCGCAGTTGGCTTCTCCACACGTCAGTAGCTGCCAAGCATCACCTTGTGCACACTGGACATAGGGATCTTCTTGCTGCTCCCAGACGGAAGACCCCGCTTCGTGCTTCCTAGCCCAAACCTGGGAAGCCGAAAAACGACAGCTAGGGCAGAGGAGGGGCTCTCCGCACGATATCGCAAGTGGCTGAGTTGCGGTGGAGTTGGGTGGGCTGCTTCCGAAGCAGGTGGCGCAACCAAGCCTCAGAAACGCATGCAGCAGTGACTTCAGTCCACCGGAGACTCATGCTCGCCTTCCTGAAGCTTATGAAATGTCGTGCAGGCATAGAGGCGCTGCAGCAGGCGATGACCCTTGCTAGGCAAGCCTGGTGGCGTTGCTTCACGCCTGGCTGCAGGATCTCTCGTATGGATGTGGAAGCTGACATCTCTGAGGATCCGTGATCGGGGCCACTGCTTGTTGCTCAGCCGTTTCGCACCCGTCCTTGGCCCATGCTATCTTGTCAGGACATTACAGACATCGGTGATGTGTCCGCGCAGTGTGCAGCAGAGTGCCTGGAGGCGATGCTTGCTTGGGAGACATGTGCCGCCACAGCAACACTCCTTTCGAGTGCGCTTGTTCCTGGGCCTCGAGTCGATAGGTCGAGGCACCGAAGCCATATGACCAGGTGCAGCCGGCATGAGCGGTTTTCGCATGTATGCAGCCTCTTGCAGCCAGTCGTGTGTGCTCGCCGTCCGACGCCAGGAACTCTACCAGCTCTTGTCCCACGCAGCTGAGAGTGGCGACCTGGAGAGCCTGCTGACAATCACAGCACCGACCACAGTCTTCCTCCGACGGATCAGAGGCCGCAAGCAGATGATGCTTCGAATCTATCCAGGACACCCATCTTACCGAACTTAGCAGTATCAATGCGGTCTGCTTCTTACACTTGGCACCGGTTCGAAGCATCTGCGACAGCCTTGCATGCCGGTGTCTACATAAAGGGGCATAACGCTGCAGGCTTTCGCCTTGATACATGCAGCTCGGATGCTGCAGGCAGGTGTCGGTTTACGCAAGTCTTGAGGACTTTGTCGGTGCACAGGTGGACAGCCCAAAACGGGATGCACTTCAATCTCCCAAGCTGGTCAATCTGATTCGACATGCCTGAACCTCAGCCAGCTGCACTTCGAGCGATGCTTCTTGCGAGCATTCTGATGCAAAGGTTGAAAACATCGTTATGGGACACCGCTTAGAAGGCTCCCCACCTGTGCGAGTTGAGAGTTCCTTTGATCGGGTCTAATTGTTGGCATTTACACCGCATCATGTTGCCTGCTTCTGCAAGGTGCGGTTGCGGCTGAAACTGCCGAGTCAGAGGTGGGGCTTGATCAAAGTGGCATGTTGTGCACGTGCACTCACTTTGGGTGCAGGACTCGTCATCCGAGGTGAAGGTCGAGGCACACTGGTCGAAGTCTTCTCTTCGAATCATTTATCTAATCTCCTGGGCTCAGGACCAAGGCCTTCACATGGCTTGGACCGTTTCTGTGATTTGCTGGGGTTTGGGTCTTCTCGGTCGCCAGCCCAGAGCACGGCCTGGGCGCAACAAAATCCGAGATATTCCAAGATCCAAGGTCATAAGAATGACAAGCTCCTTTCGTGCTTGGCCAGGCCAGTACACCGCGCTTAGCATTGTTAGGATTCGATCCAATGTGATACCGCCAGCATGGTGAAGCCACTTCTGCCACACCTCAGTCCTCATCAGCTGCAGTACCTTGGCGAAGGCAAAAGCGGAGAGGTGCTGCCATTGACTTCAAGCTGAGGAATTGCTTGTGGGCTTTTGCATCGCTGGAGATGAAGGATTCCGGACCTTTTTTTGGGTCCAGCCCTCTGAGCTTCCTAGAGACGTAGACGGTGTGTGCAAGTGCCACGGTGTGCTCTTGGCTCTTTCCTCTTTCTTTTTTTGCCAGGGCGGCGGTTGAAATCATCGAACCTCGCAGCTCGGACCGGCACTGCACGTGGCCAAGCCTTTCTCGGTGCCTGCTCGCCGCTGTCCCCTCATTCAAGGCATCACGCTCTTCAGTCACGAGCATCTTGGCCGAATGTGGCAAGGTCAGCTGAAAGAGCAAAGGCAGTCCAACAGGAGCTTGAAGGCTGTGGTGCCTCTAGTTTGCGAGTTAAAGTCGGCATATGCCCAAACACCAATGATTAAGACCCTGGCTCCTGTGGGTTTGAGGTTTTGGGTTTGCGCCGTTGGCCTAAACCCAGAATCCAACTTCTCACACTCACGCTAAGTCCCAATCTACTGGCACGCGCAGAGAACCGAAGCTCTATATGCCACTGTAGGTTTCTAGGTTCAGACTATCAGGTGTCGGGCCCTCACTCTGCAGCCCTAAGCCTTAATCCCTTTAAAGCCTGCAAGCCTGAGAAACTCTACCACGAACCCTGCTCCGCCCCATCCGAAAGAAACAAACAAAACACACAGAAAACAACATGTGTACATGTATGTACACACATATGTACATACATATACACATGCTACCATTTACGAGAAAGACAAATATAAATGTAAATACATAGCGAACTAGGTATGCACATGTACACACAGGTATGAACGGACATAGGACTTGAAATGGAAATACACATGCAAGTACATGCGCGCACACACACACACACACGTCTGTCTGTCTGTCTGTCTGTCGGTCTGTCTGTCTGTCTGTCCCTAGGCCTTAGATCCTCAGCCTTCAACCCTGAACCCTACAAACATAGATTTAGATACTTGATGAAGTACATACATGTATCATGAATACATACTTATGCAGCTATGCGGCCTCGTATAAATCTTTTCTAAACCCTAGGCCCTAAATCCTAAGCCTTAAACCCTCAACCCTGATTTTTTAAATGCTGAACACTGTAACCCTAAATCCCAAACCCTGCGCCGTAAAACCGACAGATCTGAAACCCTTAGACCCTAAACCAACCCTTAATCTTTCAGGCCTCCAGCCCTACAAAATCCCTACAGGACCCCTTAATGCAAGCCTTCAAGGATCTCGCACCGAATCGGAGCCAGCACACGAATCGGAAACTGCACGTCAGAAGCTGCGCAGCGGACACCAGTGTGCATGGGAAGCTAGCATGGAAACCAGACCGCATTGGAAACCAGAGCGCATTGGAAACTGCACATGGGAAACCGATGGTTACGTCAATGCCGCCAATGCATCCAAAGCCAAGAGCATCCATGCCCGAAGGACGACAAGCATCCATTCCCATGAGCATCCATTCCCGATTTTATCACTCCTTCTTGGTTTCCCAATCAGTTGGGGGCATGCCGAGTCAACCGTTGTTGGCATCCTAATCACCGGTCTGGTTTCCGAAGCAACCGAGCAATCGTTCTGGTTCCCGAATCACCCTGGCGGTTTCCGAAACAATCGTGCTGGCTTCCGAATCTCCGAAAATCTGTGGTTTCCGTTTCTGGTTTCCGATTGTTCCCTGATCTGCCGTACCCTGGTTGTGTGCGAGAGACAAGGAGCCTGGTGGCCATCCTGACTTCTTTCGCAATGGTAAAGGCAAGCTTCCATTGTTGCGGCTTCGAGAAGAGCAGTTTCGTGCATTTTGCAAATGGCATTCCGACTCAGGTCTTGAGTGCCAATCTTTTCGATGCAGCTGCAAAGGTGCGGCTTCAGTTCCCGTCTGTGAAGACCACAGGTATTGAGAGGAGTTTTGACGAGAATCTAAGGTGCTAGTGGAGGCTGGAGACACTCTTCGGCCTCAGGAGATGCTGCCTTGGAATTTCCAATTTCGGTCCATCCATTTCTTCAGAGGACGTTGCCAATTGCACGTGGGCATTTGCAACTTTGCGGCATCCGCATCCAGCAATATTTTCAGGTGAACCGCCCTGCTTGTGGGTACCTGTGTCTTATCCAGAAGTGGAAGTGCCAGGCTTGGGCGACTCTGCAGCAAGGAGGCTCCACGAGTTCCGCCCGGAGCAGGTTGGATGCTCGTGTGCCCTGTGGATTCCCGGAGTGTCGATCTTCAAGGCAGCTCACCGAAACCGTTTAGATCGTCTACTTACATGCCAGTGTCAGTTATTCAGCTTGAAGCACCCTCTTTCGGAGATACTCAGCAACATCACAGCTTTCGCCTCAAGATGACCGGCTCACCAATCAGTGGCCTGAGGTGCTCATGCCGGCACCCACCTCCCGACATGAAAACTGATGTCAAAAGGTAAATCGGATGTCTTTCGGAGGGGCGATGCCGCGACAAGGAGTGGAACACTGCTGCTACAGACAGTCGCACGGTTCATTCCAGTGCCAATAATTCCAACATGATTCCAGATGCTTCTCGTAGCGAAATGTCGTGGAGGTTGGCCGAACCGAGTGCCTCGTGCCCCCTGTTCGGGCTCAACTTTGATGCGGTTCCGGCTGTCTGCCTGAGGGAACTTAGGCAAATCACGAGACTTCGCCAACGGACCGCGCAATCGAACTCGAAAGACAGTCATGCCTGCACAAGCAGTTTCCTTCCACCACTTGCCACCAAATCGTCCCGATCTTTTCACCATGATGGCTTGAGGATGCAAGAGGATGCCAGCAGAGTGAGAGTGAGCAGGGAGAGGAGTTGCGGAGGAGGGTGTACATGAGGGCGACGCCGCCAGACCAAGGCCCAAGACTTCTTGTTTCTTTTGAGTCCCTGAAGGTGGCTGTCTTGGTCTGGGCATTCGCGCTGGTTCGATGGCGCCTGGAGAAGCTGTTTGAGGTGCATGTGGTGAGGGATCATCCAGCTTACGACCCGGCTTGTTCCCAATGCCAGGCAGTCCAGCATGATGTCGTGTTGGCCACAGCTGAAAGTCTTGGCAACAAATTGCTAGAGGGAGGGTCGGTGGCGGCACCGTGGTAATGTTCACCACGTGCCTGCCTAGGTGGACCGATACACTCACTTCAGTCCCGACAGTCTCCCTGCCTTGTTTAAGTGCAAACTTTGAGACTGCGGCAGAGTACAGGATCTCGGAAGTGAGTCCATGCATGCCAGTGTGGATGCAGCACTGCCAGGCTTGGCCAACGTTCTACATTCCTTCACGCTGGTGGGTCATGACGGTGCGCAAGTGATCCTGGAGGCCAGTTCTGTCGTCTGCAATGTTCGGGGCTGGTTCGCAGCCGACAAGCACTGAGGCAGAACCTAAGCAGCCAACATCTAAACTTCTTGTCCAGTGTCGCTGCCAATCCTAGTGGCTCAAGGAGCAAAGCGACAATGTGATTCTCTTAACATGTTGAGGTCGTTTTGAGCAAGTGCCATTCGCGGCAGCACCCTGAAACCCAAAGCAGGCTTGACGATAGCAGTTAGCCCAGACATGCGATGCGACCGTTGACACAGCGGAAGTGGCTTTCTGATTGATCCTGCTGTGGCTCATGGCCGGTGGGGATGCGTACTCTGCACTGTATCTCGGCCAAAGTTTATGCGATAAGCCCTGAGCAGTTTGCTGGCGTGACGATTCAGTATCAGGCTTGGCCCTGTTGCGCATGCTGTGCGAAGGTGTGCTATTGGTCGCACTGAGCATCTGTCCGCACACTCTTGCACAGACGTGCAAGCCGCTGTGCTCGTTCGACTCGCAGTACACGCAAAGCTGCCAAATTAGCCGCTGGTACACAACAGCCTTGCTAGAAAGGCTGCAGGGTGACGGTGTCTGGGGGCAGATTGCTGCCAAGAGCTTTTCATGTGAAAGCTTGAACGGCTCTGACTGCGAAAATGCCACATCGTGCCAAGTTTCTGGGAGTGGCTGTGCCGCTGACCGGGCTTGGATGGCAAGGAAACTGGCTAGCCCTCTGTGGCAAGGCGGGGCGAGCTTAGGGGCAAAGTGTGGCCTGCTGGGTCAAGTGATGGCCGGAGAAGCAGAATGTATGGAAATGGACGAGGCTGCATGTGATTCGTACAATGGCACTGCTGGATGCCTGTGGGATCCTGTGCGATCGTGCTGTGGCGTTCCACCTACAGTGGTCCTCGCATTGCTGCGGCAGGAGCTGTTCTTCAAAAGGTGAAATTTCACTGTGTGTCTGCTGTTCTTTCACATTCGCAGAGCATGCAAGCAATCAGGACTTCCGCGATGAGCTCGTGCGGTTGGCTCTCCGACGAGAGCGCTGTGCATCAGTTACATCTCAAGATCTGTGCAAGGGGTCTTGTTGGTGGGATACCTCTGCAATGCGCTGCAATCTGTTGGCTGTGGAAGCTCTGCTGGCCGTCGTTGACGAAGATTGTCCGCTGAGGCAAGGATTTGGCTCCAGAAGTGAGGTCTGCAGTTGGAAGCAACGTGCTGTTTCAGGACCGTGCTGAGCACACAAGCTGCTTGCACCGGCCTCGGAGTGGTTGGGATCTGTGGTAAATGTAGAAAAAGCGTAGCCACATGCTTCGCTTCACAAGGCGAATCAATGAGTGTTCGATTTATTTGCTTCACTCTGGCCCTAATATTAACATCCCTGCCAAGGTGACGAGCTCTCTGAAGAAAACTGTCTGGCAGCAGCGTGGCCAAGCGGAGCCCAAGATGCTCGGACGCATCGAGACCGGCAGTTGAATGCGATCAGCATTCATAAACATCGTTTCTTTGCTCATGTCCTCCGATCGCCCAATGCAAAGGACTGCATCTGGGTGAACAGTTGCCAAGCGAATCCTCGCACTCTGGAGATGGTGTTGCTCCGGCAGCTAGGACTAATGACCGCACAGATGGAGGACAGCAGCGAAAGGTTGCATCTTGAGTCAATGCTACGGTCGTTTCGTCTTGACAGATAGTTTTCGTATCCTAGAGACAGAATTTTTGCAACGCTCCGGCAGCGGCAGTATAATGTTCCTTGCCTGACTCCGGTCTTGAGCCCCTGCGAGCTCCAGCTGCAGGACTCCATGACGTCTTCCATGGCAACCTGTGGAAATTTGACAGACTGCGATGCCCAGACGCCTGCGTGAGGGCTCAGCTTGCCTTGTGACCACATGAGATTGGTCGCTTCAGCATTCATCATCATCGCTTGCTTTGTGACTGAGGCATTCTGTGTTGAAGACCTGCCGACACTGCGCGGGGCTGCGGTACAGCGGGCATCGAACGTTGCATTGCCTCTGTTGGTTCTGTGTGTGCTGAATGCTGCAGGCCTTTCCGCTTAAAGTGTGGCAAGGCTTTCAGTGCAAAACTGTTTAATGTACAGAGGCAGTGCCTCTGAGAAAGCAGTCGCTCGGGAGGGCCAGCCACTTCCCCGGCTTTGTGCGAGTGCGAGCACAGCTTGCATGAGCTTTCGCAATCCTTCTCCGATCGGGCAAGCATGAGTTTCGTTTCACCGCTGTTTCACCGATGCTGTGGGTTTGTGCTACGAAAGACTCAATCTTACAGCCGAAAGACAGCATAGCTTCGTTGCACGAGAATTTCCATGTTTATGACGGTGATGTTCAATCGCTGTCGCCTAAGAGCTTTTGGATTCTGCCTCCTTGTCCGTCGCTCGCTCTTCTCTTCGGCCGTCTTTTCCCTGCTTCGTCGCTCCAGCTCGCTGCCCTTGCCTTCTTGTCTGTCATTGTCTGCCCTCCCTGCCTCCTCCTTCCCGCACTGAACAATTCTCGCTAGAGAGTGTGACAGCTGTTCCGCTGTCAACAGGTGGCTGCCCCACACATAGCGACCAACCTCTCAGAATACAAGTCGAAGGCACCGGAGAGCATGTTCAGAAATTGAAGTGCAGCTTTCCTAGCAGCCTCGTGTGTGGAGCTGTTGTGCCTTCCAGGCTCTTGCCAAGCTTGTCTTTGCAACAACCAAGACGTCTGAACCTGCTCAGGGCACAGTCCATGTTCAAGTCTTCGGTATGCGCACAAACAACACGAGAGATGGCATGTAAATCGAAAGTAGTCGAATGAGCTAGTTTTCAGGTCAAGGGCGACTTGGTGGAGATCCTTGCGCAAGAATTCCTGCGGCGAGCGGATTCGATGTCAATGTCACACCCCTACTAGTTTGCTACATGCACAGAGCTTGAGTCTTGGAACATGCCTAGGTCCCTTCAAACTGCTATGCTGCTCGCATTCTGGAAGGCCAATCCGTGCGATTGTGCTTAAATACATAGCCGCCAGCACCCAGATTGGATAGACTGCGTTGAGGATCTGCCCTGGGATGTCAGGCGGATTTGAGCAACCCAGACTTTTTCCGTCAGGCTGCTTCCAAGGCACCGTCCGGTCAACCTCTCGTCTGTTTCGTCTGTCGGAGCGTGCTGTTTCATGTTGACTTGGGCATGATGGTCAAGGTGCAGGCCTGCTTGAAGGACTTCGAGACGTGTGGGTTCATACGACGCGGCCCCGAATGTTGGTACTCGCCAGTGGGTGTCCGCTTACGAGATGCCCAGGTCTGCTGAAGATCTTTGCAGCAGCTGGAGCTGTGGAGCCCGCCTTTATTCAGGCCTCTTGCTTCTTGTAGAGTCTTGCCACACAGCGGAATGGCGTTTATCTGCGAGGACATGGTCGATGAGGCATGCTGACACCAAGGCAAGCGTCTTGAGAGATGCTGGTGCTATCTTGTTTCTATTGCAGGCACAGCGGCGCTTGCCAAGCCTTCGAGCGACGGAGCTTGTCAATCTGGCGAAGCTCGCCCCTGAGCTTCGGAAATACTGTGACATGCCCTTTGCCGGCGAAGAAGCGGGTTGATACAAGGTTTGACGCGAAGTCGTGGCTCTGAGGACCTTACTTCAGATTGGGCAAGCTTCGCCCTTTCTATTGGAAAGCTTGGCGGGGACCCAAGCTGCTTCCTGTTGTCTGCACCGCGAGTGAGCCGATCTAGAGGCAGAGCACGGAGACAAAGTCCTTCCGCAGATGTCCCAGAAGGATGAGAGCTCCCGGATGCGCGTGCATTGAAGCATCGACTCCAAGTCTCTGCCGCGTGAGGAGCTCACGAGCTTCCTGCGATCGCTGAGCGGCCTCGGCCTGACCTCCGCCTCTTCGAGCGGCGAGGCCGAGGGGTGCCGGGAGCCGCCCGTGAGCCTCCTTTGCGTTTGGCACGGGCTTTCCTGCTGCAGGCCTTATTCAGACAGGCGGCCTCCAAGGCGCAGAGCCACTTTGTTTCTTGGCTTCTACAAGCCCTGGGATGTCGGAGCTCTGGAGGCGACTCGGCAGCTCCTGCGAAGCAAGGATGCAACATGATTCAACATGATGCAACCGATGCAGTGCTCCGGCAGTGCAATCGTTTCAAAAGGTCGATGTCACATGTGAAGGACGATCGTCGGTACTCTCTGAAGTCTTCTGATCTTGCTTGCTTGTCCAGAGTGTTTGCCGGATGCTTAGTTCGCAGCTTGCCAAGGACACGGATCAATCGCATTCTGCGATTTTGTCTGAGGCCCGTGCAGCAGCTGCTACTGGCCCCCTCACGGACAAGTATCAGGTCGCAGGATGGCATATGATGGCACCCTCATCTGGTGCAACAGTATCTCGCACGGAGGCATCGACGGAGACCCCGGCCGAGCTTCGGGAGGCCACTCTCTCCGCCACACGAGACCTCCGCTTTTCCTCTTGTCTTCCGAGTCTCCAACAGGCCATCAACACGTTCTTGCAGGCAGCAGTGGAGGAGGTGCGAGAAACGCCGTCTCACGAAAGCATCGCTTCTCTGTGGTGCAATGTTTCTGGCACGAGCGGTTTCCTGCAGCACTCAGAGCTGCTAGTCCTTGGCCATTGCAATTGGTCTTGGACGGTGCGGCATGTGCGCAGCCGTGCGCGACTGTGTTTCCTGCGCCCGCAGGCACGGCAGCGATTAGATGAGTTTCAAGCTTCGCCTGCTTGTTTGGTGGGGGTGCTGCTGACCTGTTTGAGTGTTGCAGATTTTCATCCAAATCCCTAGAGAGCCTTGAGCTTGAGCCTTGTGCTCTTGGTGGCTTTCGTAGGTGCTTTGGGCCGCCTCCGAGTGCAAAGTGGAATGCGAATCGCTGATGAAGGCGTGCGATCAGTACGTCTTTTGGTTTGCCGTTCTTCCTACACTCTTCAGGCAGAGTCCGTGTAACCCACCACAAAAACACAGCTCGCCGAAAGACATCCTTGTTGCAGCTGCTTCGGCTTTGTGAAATCGCTGAGCAGCCCCTACCGACAATCACTACGTACGCTTCAATATCGGCCAGTGGCGGTGTTGGTGCTGATGCTAGGTCAACTGAAGAGTGATTCGCAGGGTTTGCAAGCGACTGCCCAAAGCCCTCCTACAGTATGCAAGACATCAAGACAGTTGTGATGGATGTTGCGGCATGATGTCTTTATTGTGTGGGTCATCAAGCATCTTGTGGCATCAGTCAGATACTTGCAGGGTTTCGCGATCATTGCCGCTGTTGCGGCCGATCCTGGAATGACCCGAACAAGTCTGCTACGGTGCCGTTCTAACTTCTGGTGCAGGCGACGATCGCCGTGCTTTTGCCGTCCGATGCGCCAGGTCAGCCAGCAGTAGCCGCCGTAGCTGCCAGCTACGGAATATAGCATCACTGAGCCATGTATGTATGCTCTCATGGATCAGTGGCACCAGGATGCATCAATATTCAATTCAGTACGTTAAATCATCGTGGCTGCAGGTGGCGATAACAACCTTCAGAGACTCCAACTGCCCGAACTGGCGGAACTGGCAAAGGTGCCTCAACTTCGCGATGCCAATCTCGTCGCTAGCCATGCCAGTCGTGCTGAGGCTCTGACCCACTTGGGCGTGGAGCAAGTGGAGCTGTACAAAGCGCTGGCCGACGTTGCAGTAGCGTGCATGCAGGCACAGCAGTGAGCAAGAATTTTCGGACAGTTTCAGAACAGACAGCATGGTTAGTCATGCTCACGCAGACGGCCCTGGCAGGAAACCAACAATGCCCGACACTTGGCATTCATGGCTGGAGTCCTCCATTCGAGCTTTGCGACACGGTGCTCTCAAAAATCATTGAGCCCTCAGCGGATCTCTCGCGCGCCAAGTTTTCAAGCTTCACTTGTTGGGAATTCCTCTGCTTGGCCGCGCAGCTGACCTTTCGTGGTCACGTTGCTCGGAGTGCAGCCGTTTCCCAGCGGCTGAGAAACAGCTTGCACATGAGTTCCATGATTATCGCCCATAGCATCGAACTTCAATAAACGAGATCGGAGACACTGGTAGCAACTCAACATTGCTCTTGCAAATGGCGTAAGAATAGCCGTATGTAGGCAGGCAGAGCAACTTTTGTGCGGCGGCGACCAAGATGTGTCTGATTTTCGCTCGGTGATCCGAGAGGCAGAATGAGCCACAAAGTTTGGTCCGGAAGCAAGCAAAGCCGCTCACAGCGCATCATCAAGCGACTACTTCCGCACGAGAGCTCCTGCGGAGTGGAATTTCTGTTGCCGTTACGAGTGGGTGAGGAGGTAAGCTTGTCTGGCACCCTTGAAGTTCGAGTCTTGCGAGGCTGCGCCGAGATATGGGGCGCCAGTCTCTTGCCATCGAAGAGATTCCGGCGTCTGGTGGTCCCTCCTTGGTGTTCTACACCTCGGATCCGGGCCGTGCGTGGCAAGTCTTTGGGCTCTCGACAGGTCGATGCATCTGAGGCGCAGGATGTCTTGGACTTCTTGGCAGCTCACCGATGGCCCGTCGTCCTGTGCCTAAAACTCTGCAAAGAGTCTTCTGCCGAACTTGCTGCTCCACTCATGCGGGCAGTGCTCACGTCTCCTTCAGATCATCCGCGTTTGACGGCTCACCGTGCATGGCCGAGCATACTGCAGCACTTCCTGGTCGAGTGCGTGCATTGCTACAGTGAGAAGCCGCCAGTCTTGTTGGTGATGGGTCCGAAAGGAGTCGGGAAGTCCACCTGCTGCCGGTACTTCGTGAATTCCTTGCTGTCCGAGTGCCCGGAAGTTTATTTTCTGGAGACCGACTTAGGTCAGCCGGAGCTGGGCCCTCCCGGTGTTGTGACTCTGCATCGCATCACCCAGCCACTCTTGCAAGTGCCGCATGCAGAACAACACCACCACCAGCGACTCGCGGCTTTCTTTGCAGGTGCCGTCACGCCATCCACACACCCCGAGCTTTTTGTTGCATCAGTTGCTGCTGCCGTCGACGCTTACATCGAAGCTCAGCAGGGAGTTGTCCGGCCTGCGCCCCTGATGGTGAACTCACACGGCTGGACCACGGGACTGGGTTTGGAACTGGTGCAACAGGTCGTTGCAATCTCGAGGGCGCAGCTCGTATTGCGGCTGAAGCCCTCAGAGCCTTCCCGCAAACGGCCTGCTGAGTCGGGTCCCGAAGCCGAAGCCGCCGAAGCCGCCGAAGCCGCCGAAGCCGCCGAAGCATGCAAGGACCTCCCCAAGGACCAGCCGAAGCCACGCCGCACCTCTCTGGCCCGCTGCGGGCCACTCGCGCGTGCCTTCGGCCGGTTCCAGAAATGCTCCGGAGCCTTCACAGACGAGGGGTTGGTGCTGGTGGACGTGGAGTCTGCGGCCAAAGGTGCCGGAGCTTCCCCTACTGCCGCGCAGCTGAGATGGCTTCGGATCGCAGGACACTTCCAGCCTGATCTCGACCCATGCCTAGCACCCCATGCAGTGGCTCCACAGACCTTCTTTTCGATGGTGCCCCGCTGGCGGCTTCAGATGAAAGGCCTACGCTTCGGTCTTATCGCTGGACATTTGCTTCACTCAGAGGTTGAAGCGGCACTGACAGGCACAGTAGTTGCCCTCTGTTCCCAGCCGCAATCGGAGTCCCAAGAGGTCGAGGTCCACTCATCGGAGGATCTGGGTTTGTTGGAGCCACACGAGGCACCAATTGAATTTGTGGCGTATGCATTTGTACACTCATTCGACTTTCGTGTGGGGCAGATCGTAGTGCATTCCTCCTTACCAGAGGCAGCAGTCGGGAGTGTCAACCTCATACTGAGAGGCGAGATCGCTTGGGAAGCGAACAGCACTCGGAATCTTAGGCTCGGGGACGGGAGTCCCAGCCCCATGCAGCCCTATGCTGCCCCGTGGTTTCTTGAAGGTATGGGCGTCGGAAGCAGGGTCGTGAGCACGAGAGGCAATATCCGCCGGCGAAAGCTGCGGACACTCTGAGTCTCTGCAGCGCTGCCCAGAAAGAAGTGCGAGGGTTGTGCACATTCCCTGGACTGCAACTGTTGACATCACCTGCAGTCTCGAGAATCCATTTCGTGCTTGGCATGTGCAAGGTGGGGCCTCCTGAAGAGCACCTTGTTCCTGCCGCCGAACTCCTCAGCCTTCTGGCGACAGTCGGGTGCGACGGCAGTTGCCTACTGACTTCGGCAGCGCATGCTCTTCTGCCGTGTCCAGGATTTCGGCGTCAGTGCTTGCATCCATTGCGGCAGACAAAGCGAGATGCCTAGGCTTAGCCAGCGTGGCAATCAGCTGCACGGCTCATGCACGCTGCCGCTGCGATGCTGTTTCAGTGATCAGGTTCTTTCACTGTTGGACCAAGCCGACACTGGGGAGATCAAGCTCCCCGCATGGCCCTCAGAGGAAGAGATGCATGAAGACACATTGACATGTGCAGCTTTTTTGTCCTGAGCCTTTAAGACTTTAAGGCTTGGGTCATCGCACGTTGCATTGCTGGGCTCGCTCTTTCCGTCCCGGACGGGGCCTTGGCCCCAAGTTGGAGCCTAGTTCAGCGTCTTGCGTAGCACACCATGCATGCTTACGGGAACGGGTTGAACTCGCAGGTGGGTCGAATTCTCGGTGCCTTGAAGCTCCTGGCTCATGCCGCGACAGCACGGGCAGTCGAGCTCCTTCCGGAGGCGATGCACTGCCCTACACCGGGCCCTACAGAGCCACAGATCTCGTTCGAGCACTGTGCCGAGATGTCAGTCTAAGAGTCCAACACGTGACCTTGTGTACTCGTCACTGCCGGGCACTGGAGATGCTTCCCCTAAGTCTTCCAAACCTCTTGCTCTCTGCATGCACAGAGACCGACAAAGAAAGACCAGACCTCTTGCGCAAAGGAACAAACTCCATCTGAACCCAGCCTGTGAGCGTCCTGTCGGTTCTTCGGAAGAGGATGCATGCCGGAGCATGATTCCTCAGTGCTGAAGACGTTTTAGTGTTCAATATGCCCAGACAGTCAATCCTCATTCCCAGACTTGAAATCGAACGTTTCGAGCCCACTGCCCCACAGCAGCAGAAAGCACACCAGCCCCAAGAGCTAAATTCCGAAAAAATCGAAGCCCGGTCCGCAGAACATCATTGGAGTCGCATTTGCTGCGTACTGACGGGACACTGTACCTAGCGTAGAGTATACATCACGACACACGACTACTGGTCAGTACTTCTCATTTTCCCGCGGGGAGTGTTTGGCAGGAACGCGCCTTGATTTTCTGGAGCCTAAGCTTGCAGGGTTGCTACGAGGCGATGGGCGGTGGCTTTCTTTCGCACAACACCTGCATGGCATCAGAGTCTCATGACTTTTCCACAGGAATTCTTTGAAGCAGTTTTGGAGCAGACACCGTGGTTGGATCCTCAACTCTCGAGTGTCTGCAGCGAGCGAAAGAAGTTGCAGCATTCGTCTTTCTGGCAGGACCCTCTGGGCACCGAAGTTGCAGGCGCTAGAGCGTTTGCACAGATCACCCGCAGTTGCTCTGCATGTGCATCTCACATTTCAGTTTTGTATCGTTGAGGACGAGCTGGTCATCAGCGGAAATGGTTATGTTCCGTCACCAAAACTCGTGGCCTTGTGCCAGGCTCCCTTCCTGATCAGTCGAACTCCGCTCATGTCGTTGTAACGTTTTCGATGCGTTCGACTTGGACTGACCACTTTGCCTGCGAGGTTCATCTTGCTGATCTGGCATTACGCATTGAAGGCGGAGGCAATGCTGCATCAACTCCACGATTTGCGCTTCACTCTGGCCGGCCCGCCGAAGGAGATCGAGCGGCTCTTTCTGCGGCGCAGAGGACTTCGGCAAGAACCTTCAGCTTGAGTGCTTGTTGCGGGCCAGCAGAGGACCCATGTTGTGGAAGCTGCCCAAGTCATGGCCCGCATACGACCCGAGATACCGGCAGAGGCACAGATCAACGGCAGAAGTGTGCCGCTGTCCGTGGTAGCTGCCGTCTGCCTCTCGTCAAGACGAGGCGGAGCCCATCTCCCAAGCCCTCATTTCCATGGAGCTGCTGCCATCACTCGGATCCAGCACTCCAGAAGGCCGGAACGGGAGCACTTCCGTTCTCGACGTTGGGCCCGTTAGGTTTTGTTTAGGCTCTTCGTCGATTGCACTCTGTTTTTGTATTCGTCGAGATGTCAACTGGCCCAAGGACGCCGGAAAACATTCAGCACATTCAGAAGACAATGTGGTTTGGCCTGAAGCTGTCGTGTTGAAAGGGTGCGGATTGCTTTTTCTCACTCACCGAAAGGACTGGTGCTGCGTATCGTTGCACATGAGAGGGCTGGAGTCATGTGTGCTGTCAGCCATGGGGAGGAGGATTTCTTATCACTTTCCTTGCAGATAACTGGCATGGGCAAGGTTCAGGGCTTTGCCTTGAAGAGGCAGCCTTCCGGGCCGTCCAGTCAGGCAATACTCGGGCGCAGTGTACTCCAATCGCCTGCACTACAAACCCGTGCGGCATCTGAAGCTTCCCTCTCTCAGCCTGCAAAACGAAGCACGCGAATCCGCTGGAACATGGGACCCTGCCAGCACAGGACGTGGCTGTCTGCTCTTCGAAGGACCGGCTTAGAAGCCGAATTTTGCAATCTGATGCAGTGGAGAGGCTTTCAATTCGGCTCTCGTCGGGTTGCAATCAAGATGAAGGACTTCTGCCACGACAAATACGAGCTGGCCAGAGAGCTCTTGCAGACGCCCTCGTTATCGGGCACTATGCCTGAAACGTATTTAAGCGTGGAGGACTTTGTCGCTTCCAGACGGAACTTGGAAGGTTTGTGGTTTCTGAAGCTATCCGACGTTGACTACGGGTGCGGAGTCCGGCCGTTTCAAGGCCCAAAGACAGAAGAAGAACTTCATGATCTGCTTGAGCTTGCCTATCTTGAGGCTTCTCAGTCTGTCACGGCTTTGCGGAAAGCCAAGGGCTGCAAGCCACGACCTGTCGGCCGGCAGATCGTCATCCAACGGGCGGTGGAGTCTCCGCTCGCCGATGGGCATAAGGAGGATTTCCGTGTCTACGTGTGTTGCACAGCATCGAGTCCACGAAAGATCTTCGTTTATCAGAAGATCGGAGTCCGGAAGGCCCCGAAACCAATGAATCCGATGCATGGTCTGAGCCGAGCCAGTCATTGCACCCACTACGGACGCATTACGCCGGCGGCGTCGTCCATGGACTATCATCACTATGATGTCATCTTTCCAAAGCTGTGTGCAAGCATTGCTCAAGTAATGCTGCATTTTAGTCCGAGTCTGGAAGAGGGCTCTGCAGTCCTTCTTGGCATGGATTTTATTTGCGACGAAAGCCTCAAGCCCTGGTTGCTTGAGATAAACCAAGTACCGCGCATCTGCTACGACGACCCTCACGTTCAAGCTTGGACTGAAGGCATGGCCATGGATTTCATGCAGCTGGTAGTCCTTCCGGAATTCGGTCAGAAAGAGAAGCGCCAGACACTGTGGTCAATGGTTTAGAGGCCTGATGTCGTTTCACTCACATGCAGTTGTACCAAGCTTGCGATGGATTCTTTCTGCATCCAGCCTCCGTTCAATGCTGATTCATGACCCCCCATGCTCTGAACACTGGGCTTGGACTGCATCAGACTGACAGTGGCCGGTCGATGCATTGTACATAAGCGACGCAGGCTTGCAAAGCCGCTGTGACCCTGAGTTGAAGAGAGATTCGGGGATGAGATGAGTTTGCGAAGGAGAGGCCACAAGAGGGTTTCGGCAGCAGGTGCATCGACGGTGGCGATGTCGCGGAATATTCGATTTTCGGGTTAACGGTTGATGGCGTATGATGGCGTGTAAGACACTGAAGATCAATCGCGGTTTACCTTCTACTATCCATTCTCGAAGATGGAGAGGAGGAGAGAACTCCACCTTCTGTGTTTGCCCGGACAGAACCTGCAAACCGTGTGAGGTTTGCCCTTGAGCATTCGGGTCAGCTCTTCGTCCATCCGGCCCCGGCCTCAATGTGCAAAAAAGGAAACCGGCCACGGCTACAGCGATGCCCGCGTCCTGTGTGAGGGGTTCGGGTGCCTGCCCGACTGTGTCCATCGAGGCACAGGGCCAGTGCCTGCCCCCCCACTTTGTTGCTCGCCTTAGATTGAAGTTGAGATCTATGGTCTCGATCTGTGCGCAGCACCCGCCTAAGATATACCTGCCTGTATGTATATATTGCGCCTAAAGATGCTGATGCTTGCTTTTCAGCTTACTCACGTACTCCTTCTTGCCTGTAGGTGGATCGTCCTGGAGACTTGCTCTTCGACATCGACTCGGGGAAAGCGCATCGTGACGTGGCTGCCAGGGCAGTTCTCCGATGCCGTGCAGCATCGTGCAACCGAGGCTTTTTGCCTACTGCATTGAGAAGACGCTTGCTTTGGTGTTTGGGTGCCCCGCCTGATCAACTCAGTTTTTGGGCTAGGGCGGCGCGAACTCTGTGGGTGTGTGGAAGCCAAGGCTACACAGTGGTGGTTTTGCCCTGGTATGAGGTCTGGACATCGCGGGGTCGTGGTCAGACATAGGACTGTCCATGTCGGGACTCAGCAGGTCAACCGCTGTGACAATGAGCAGCTGGTTGCACTCCTGCGTGCCAGACTTGCTGAGGCACGGAGGAATTACTGTGTTGACGGTCTGGGAGAGTTGGAGAGAGGGCTGAAGAGACTGCAAGGTGTCGCCACCACGACCACGCTTCACTTCCGATAGAGGCATGGTGCTGCGACTCTTGCGCAGTAAGAGTCGCTCTGCCGGCTACTGTCAAGGTGGGCAGTCCAAGCTGCATGAGGCAGATGAAAGACATCGGGTGAGCAGCGCTGAGGACGGAATCGTTACGCAGCCATTTGCCAAAAACCGCAAACACGGCCTGAAGGCCAGTGGGAACAGCAGCTCCAGCGGCCCGGCAGTGTGAGTTGGTATGCGATCGTGTGGTTGGGGGTATGTTTCTTCGTTTAGGTTTTCTGATTCTGGCTTGTCTGCTGTTGCAGTTGCTGCAATCAAGGACGATCTTCTTACGAACTTGGTGCTGCTATTCTTGTATCCGGGTTTCATGTGGTTGAGGCATCTACCGAGTGGCATTTTGACGCACCGACCGGGGGACGTGCGGGCTCACTCATAGACGTACTGACAGAGACAGATATTGACTGACAACTGATTGTCTGATTGACTGACGGACTGACAGACTGACGGACGCGGCTGCCGACAGACCTACCGACAGGAGGACACAAGAAACGCCAACAGGACCAACCACACGGAAGCACCCAACACAAAAGCACCGAACACAACGCACGCAGAACCTCCAGTTCTGAAGTAGCATGTCCCTTAGCCTTGCAGCATCCGGGGATAAGAAGCCACCGTCTTTGGTCTGCCATCGAGGTGTGTCTTCCTGGCAAGGAATGAGGCGGGGCCCGGTCTTCTTCCGAAGGCACAAGGATTTGCCTTGATTGAACGGCCCAGTCAGCAGACTCAGACTTCGGGCTCAAAGTGAAGTCATCAGAAGTTTGCCGGAGTCCTCGTTGCTGATGTTCTCACATGACACAAGAACACGTGTTTGATGGCTTCGACGATGTTGCGGCGCTTTCCGAAGAAATCGAAGCAGCGCTGGAGTTCGTGGCGCAGCAGCCGCAGCAACTGAGCTCCTATGCGCCGCGCGCATTGACATGCGTTGCTCTCGCAGCAGTCAGCACCCCAAGCATCAACTGGGATGTTCTGAACGCAGCATGTTTCGAGATACACAGGAAGGGTTTGCGACATGTCTCTGCAGGCTCTCTGACTCGCCTGTGTTGGGTATTGGCATGTGCGGAGCACCGTGACGAAGTTTTGTTGGAGACCATCGGTGAGGAGCTTGCTGAGCGTCCCTCTGACTTTACTGTGGACGAACTGGTCAAGTGTGTTTATGCCTACTCCGAACTCAATGTGCTCCATGAAGCAATGTTGGCAGCCGCCACGGTAGAGCTCATGTGGAGGATCGACCAGTTGTGTGCACGGAGCTTGGCACATTTTGCAGTCGGATTGGCTCGCCTGGAATACTACAAGCAGCCTGTATTTGACTGGCTTGCGAACTGCCTTTGCCAGAGACCCGAGCGCACATTGGATGACGTTTCTTCCGTAGTGTGGGCTTTCGCAAAGGCTTCCGTGCCACACGCAAGACTGTGTCAGGTAGCTGCTCAAGATGCGTCGAGCGCAGACGCAGAGACGCTAAGCGAAGAGCAGCATGCAAGACTAATGTGGGCCTTTGGAAAGCCGAACTTAGAATCCTCGGCGGTCGGACTGCCGAGACCTTTGTTCCATCTCGGGCTGGCAAATGCTCAGCGAGTGTGCAATGACATGACTCCAAAGGATGCATAGCAAAACGTTGCAAGAAGACTGCACACCCGCACCATTACTGTAGCCAGTAGCTGTGAATTTTGGCCGCCGCAGTTGTCAGTCGTCAGTCGATTCAGGGACAGCAGCTGTTTTCGTCTTGCCTCCTGTCGCGAGGCCGCCTCCCGGGCTCTGAAGGCTCTGAAGCTCTTTCAGGCCGAAGCCCTGGCAAGTTGTAACTAATCCGACTGAGTGATCTAGTGCTTGCAATCCACGAGGCCTGACAAGTCCGCTAGATGGATCTGGGGCTCGAGATGCGGCGGGAAGCTCCTCAGGCCTTTAGGATATTGCATGCTGCTGTTTGCATGCCGCGTTCATGCGGCTCCGTTTGCATTGCCCAGCGCTGCATCTCGCAAAACCCGGGTAACCGTTTGTCTCCAAGTCGACTTCCCTACTGCGCAGCCGGCCAAGCCTTGCAGGTGGCAGAGGTTTGCAGCTCCGCCGGGCGGCAAATCAAGGAGACAGATTGCCGTGCAGACTGGCTTTGCGGACAGTTTCTTGTTGGAGCCCTGTGCGAAGCAACTAGCCTTTTCTTTTCAGTTCGACGTCCCACCGCAGGCTTGCCAAGCAAGCCTTAAGCAGTGGCAACGTAAATTCATTCCTAGAGGCATGTCTGCGAATGCGTGCTGCATTCTATGCGACGGCCGGCAGTACCATAGATTTTGACACAAAGGCTGGCATATCAGGGCAATCCGCCTTGAGACTTGCCAAAGCCTCCCCGTGTACCGTAGCCTTAAACTTTTTGATGGCTGACTTGTCAGTCCGAATGCATTCGATAATGACCTCGTTAATGACCTAAGATCGCAAGAGCCTCTGGCAGTTGCTATGGCCCAGTGCTAGCGGCTGGGAGGAGAGCTTTCCCTGACTTTGAAAACAATGAGCATCCCTGCCAAGAGCCTGTGCTTCTGATGCGACAATTCCTGAGAGATTCGCGCTGGAACTTCGCCTCGCTTCGGAACGCTTCAAGGTAGCGACTCAGCAGTGTTACAGAAGAGACACCTCTGTGAACTGAAGGCAGCAGCATGTTCAATCAACGCCGGACTGGGTACCGTGTGCAAGACGGCTACTTGTCACTCTGACATGTTGCCGACGTCGTCAGCCGCGCAAAACCATGTGGTCGGATGCATGGACTCAGGGCTGGCTTGGGCGATTGATGCAGCAGAGCTTTCTATGTACGAGATACATGTTCAATGTAGCACCTGTTCGGTTGCCAGACGTTGCCATATGCAGCCTGATGGCGGGGTTGAATAGCCTCCAGAGCCTGCGAGTGCCTGCTTCCCGTAATAACTCCTCCCCTCAGGTTGATGCATGCACTGGGACTGGCTGCAGGTGTCCTACCCGCTGCAGGAAACGACACAGGGTATATTATCAATGTTATCAGCAGTTTTCGCGCTTCTCAAATCCAGCCTGCTGTAGTTCAGGAGACTTGCGCTTTCCTGACTACGTGCTAGACTGAGAGTTTCATTTTGACACTGCCTGCTTGCCTGGAAAGCCGCGCTCTTCCCTCACGTCAAGACGAATCTCCGGATGCTCTGCCTTTGCGGCGCACAAACTCAGCCTGATGCGGCTTTCAGGCATCTGACTTCGCACAATCGGAAGGATGTCTTCCGAGCATCTCAGAAGAGGCTCACCTTCCTTGCAGCTCAGAGCTCTGTACCACAACTCCATGGCAATGGAAAGAATCCCAATGCCTAAAACGCTTGCATTCCAGACCGAGCCGATTTACATGCCGACGGAGCTGGAATCAATCCTTAAAGAAGCTGCAAATGGTTCTGGTATCGTCGTCGAGAGCTCGGCGAGGGTGATACCTGCAAGCATTGGCGTGACAGGAGTGTCCGAAAGTCAGGCGTTTAGCGTGTTTGTCAAGACTGGAGACAGGCAGGAGGCAGGAATCTGCCTGCCAGCAAAGAGCCAGCATGGGCATCGTGCCTGCAACCTTCCAAAGGAGTCTCGCTTTGCGGCGCAGCTAAAGCATTGGATGTGCCGCGCGAGGTGCGGTATGTCCTGAAGCCACGAAGCGAGGTGAGTTGTGCGGTCCGCAACAGGTCGGTCTTTGGCCGGGATTTCTTGGTCTTCGTGGATTCGGAGAGATCTAGACAACGCTGGGAAGGCAGCTGAGCTGTTAAAGCCTCGAGGCTGTTGCTGCAGAATTTGAAAGCATTCTCCGTCAGGAGAATTCGGCATTACTTCGTTCTTCTCCCAGTCGTGGATCAAGGTGCGTTGCCGGGCTCTGTTTAGGCATGAGGTTCACGGCAAACCAGCTGAGACAAAGATCGGGCTTGTCCATGCCGTGGCAGGCGTCCTTCGCAGGTCCTGCTCGGGAAGAGATCCACGACTCCAATTATTGGCGCTGTGGCCCAAGGTGGAGGTTAAACATGCATGGCAGTCAATACGTACATGATGCATGCAACTCAGGTTGGGTCGCGCAGTGGTCTCAGTACATCTTGAGACAGTTGACGTGGCGTCCAAAAACACTCAAGTTAACTGCGGACTCAGAATGGAGTCTATACTTCGTGCTGGATACATGGCTCTCTATGTTGACACTGCGCCACGGCCGCACATCTTGCGCACGAACAAGCGCTCGCTCGACTGCTGGCATTTCCACAGACCACACGAGTAACCCGTGAGTAGTGATAGAGTTTCTCGGCCGGAGCGGCTTATGTGCTGGAAAGTTTGCGATTCAGACGGCGGGACAGCAGCAAATACGAGGTTCTGGGAATTAATGTGATGATGTGTCTCGTTTATGACCATGCTGATGATGCTCTTGATGTCCTAAGTTGCTCAATTCTTGTGTTTAGCCTCAAGCCTCTAGATTCCGGATGCTTTTTAGGCTCAAACACTCTGAAGTCTGGCCTTGGATTGATGGTGTGATTGTTAGACAGCGGACAATGAACACAAAGTTTTGGCTTTGTCTTGGAGGTTTAACCTGAGTAAGCTGCTGCGTGTGTAAATACCGGAGCTGCAGCAGCTTCTTGTGCACTGCGCCGGTGTTCGCTTCGCAGCGCACGGCTGAAACAAGGACGTACTGTGGCTGGAGGATCCGCGGCCACTCCTCGTGACACTTCCTGGCGACGTCGATTTCTTTGGTCTCATGGCATAAGCGGCCGCTTTTACGAGTGCTTCAAGTCAAATGTGACGGCGAAACCGAGGCTCCTGCGATGCATATAACGGCAGCAGTGGCAGCATCAGGTGCTCTTGGCCAAGACCGTCAGCATCTTGTTTGCCGGTTCCGGAAAGCCAGGTGGGTCAAGGATGGATCTTTGGACATCGAGTACCTGCGTGAGGCAGAGCCTCTTTCGAGACTCTCCTGTAGTGAAATGGAGACTTCCACTGCACAGGAGTCCCGACAACACGATGACGAGTCCGTCTGTTGTCAACAGGGGCTAGTGCCAGTCAATGCCGGAGTTATGTTTATGAGGCACACAGTCTGCTGCGCACGAACTCGAGCGAGCCGCATGAGAGACCCAAAATCTGAGACGCTGTGTTCTCTTCAGGTCGAGTGCTGCTGCTGTCAGTGCCGTCGAGCGCTTCCGTAATCGCATCATTTCAGGGCCCTGCTGGGGCCAGGCCGCAATGCAACTTGAATTTTGCTGGGCCGAGCTATCTTATGCCGGCTTCAGCTTGCCCTGTGGCCCCTTGAATCCAAGGCATTGGGGGCTTTACGAGATGTGTGGCTCCCAACTATCGTGTGAGATCCTCGATCCGTTGGTCTTTGCATCTGCTGAGCCACTTCGCACGGCTTTGCGGAGAGACAACCGAACGGCACCTGTCTGCATCTGGTCCTAGATTCGCATCTTCTCCTGCTCCTATCCTCATCTATCCTCCATCACTCTGGCTCTCTCTCTCTCTCTCTCTCTCCCTCCCTCCCTCCCTTTCGCTTTCGGTTGGGACGAAAACCAGCGGCTCCGGCTTCGCCCACTTTTGCAGAGGCTCTTCGTCGACCTTCCCTGCACCTTGTCTCTCCGTGCAGAAGGGTGAGTGATGAGACAGAGAGAGAGAGCGAGCGAGCGAGAGAGGGAGAGAGAGAGAGAGAGGGAGGCAGAGAGTGCTTGTACTGCTACCATGTCTTGCGCGAAAGATCAGAGAGACAAGGATACACCTGGATATTTCAGCACCTTGGCCCAAACGAAGGGTTCAATGCATGCATGCGACGAGGGCCAACGAGTGAAGCGTTTAATAGTTCGGGTCTGCACTCCAGGGCAAGGAGAAGGCCACGAAGCACTTCGAAAGATTCTTCGGAACACCGCAGGCTGGATGACAGTCCAGGCAGCAGGATGGAGATGCCTCGGGATGAGATCGATCCTCCCTTGCACAGGAGTGTCTCGCGGATGACAGCGGCCGGAACAGTGAGTTGTGAAGCTGCTGAACATGATGCAGAGCAACGTGCCGGTACACGCCTGGCATAGTCCGATGCGCCTGGAGCAGCGTGAGGCTGGCATCGTGATCCTGTCATGTCCCTGACGCTGTTGCAGTGTATGTGCCCATGTGTCGCTGCAAGACCGCCTTCGAAAGACATCGAGCCGGAAAGCTCGTGGCGGGACTGCCAAGAGCTGCTCGCGTGGCACATCCGACATCCCCTTCTAATCGGGTGCAGAATGAAAGGGCTCCGTTTGGACGATGACGGTGACGGCTCTGGACTCCCCTTGTGCAGCTACTTCGTGAATGCGTAGTTGCACTGCAAGCCGAGCTGATCTTGCAGCATCTTGTAGCTGCCGGTGTCGTATTGTTCTGTCCTGGGTTCCAGCATCAAGCTGGCTTCGTAGCCTCATTGTCGGTGAGATGCCGGACTGCTTTTCCGCTCCAAGTGTGGGGAGCGACGACGACGGCTTTTTTATCTCCCAAAAAGAAGCACACATCTTCTCAAGGGCTCTCGCACGGTTGCCGATCCAGCATCATGTCGCAGCCGGTCAAGCCGTCTTGCCAGCCATGCGGGCTCAAGCCCGGAGTGCTCCAAGTGTGTCGCATGTAGCGATCGCGCAGAGCAGAATCACTTTCACCCTTCCACCTGATGCACGCTGCCTTTTCAGCATCGCTTTGATCTGATGTCGACCCCGTGACGTCTTTGCCCATGGCCCGCAAGCCTCGAGGCGGTCGAGGTGGCCGTGGGGGCAGAGGACGAGGAGCTCCCAGGCGCAA